TACCTAATTACCAATACTATTTTGGGGTTCCTTCTTGTATGTAATTACAGTATAATGCACCCCGAAACCCTATTCTAATTATTTAGGCCCTTACAGTATACTGGTTTGGCGGCAAGCCCTCCAGCCTCAAGGGATATTAGAGAGGCGTTGCGCACATATTGATGGCAGTATCCAGAATCAGGTCTTTGTTTGTTGAAGCTCTTGTAGAACGGAAACAAACAAGAAAGAGCGGCGTTGGTATTTGCTGTCGGCGCTTCAGAAGATAACCTATCAATCGGCCAAGTCTTCACTCTAAAGCCCTACAGCGATCCAACAAGCTCGTTGCCTGCTCATGGTTTTAGGGCTTGTAGGGTTACCTAGAATTAAAGCCGAGCTCTAAACTATAAACTTAAAAAATCCAGCTGAAATAGTGTTGGTAAGTATTTAGGCTCTTACATTAGACCATTAGACTTGAAAAAGCACAGCTGCTTCTAAGGAAACTAGCTCGGGAGCGCACGACGGGGCCCGATGTGCTGGATGCCGACTTGAGAGCGTACCGATTGAAAGGCGCAACACGTAGGGGGTTTGAAATTAGGGGTTTAGGGTTTAGGGATTGTACTGCCCTGATCTTAATTCTAGAAATACGGGGTTTTAAGGTCCACTCTGGGGTTTTAGAGGGGTTTAACATGGGGGGCTGTTGCGCACAGGGTTTTGTAAAGGGTACGAAGCCGGGGTTAAGGCTTCGTAGCTTCTGCGATGTCGGAGGGGCGGAGAAGAGGTAGTCTCAAATGCTTGGGACGGGGTTGAGCACAGTTTCAGGGCGTTCAGCAGGGTGTCCGTGGATAGGGTGTGGGGGCCACTGGGCTACTGCAATGAAACTCTGATGGTTCCTGTTCTTTTGATGCAAGTTTGGTCAGCAGTGGTTTCTTTGCTGCCACACACCGTCAATCGAATGCTAGATTGGTTCGAGTGGTTCGAGTTGTTAAGATCGTTGATGTCCTCCTCCTCCTCCTCCTGCTCCTGCTCCTTTTCCTCGTCCTGCTCGTTGTTGTTGCCAGCGCTGGCATTGACGGCACCTTCGGCAACAGTCGTGTTCATCGTGATCGGAAAAAAGGAAAGCCCTATAAACCGCAAAGGAACTGATTGAGGAGCTGCACTCTCCTTGTCTTGAGCTGCCACTGCGGCCTTGAAGCTGCTAAAGTCTTGGTTTTGGGGGGCCCTCGCTAAAGGAGATCAAAGCGCGGAACCCCCACGCACCAGAAGACGTAAAGCCAGGCCACAATATTAAGTGTTGATAGGATTCAGGATTTTAAGTGGATCTAGAGAAACCTGAGCCCCATGATGCAGTTCAGGCCCATGAAAGCCCCAGAAGCCGGATTCCTGTACTGTAGGAGCCTAAATAACTACCAACATGATTTTGAGGGTTCCTTATTATAAACATAGTATAAGGGGCCCCAAAACAACTTTCTAATTAAACCCTAAACCCTAAACCCTAACCCCTAAACCCCTAAACCCCAAACCTGCCCCTATATTCACCGAACCCCAAATTGCCCACACCCTTTGCCCTAGAGCCCGAGTCCCGATTTTTCTGCACGCAGGCCTCAGTGCTATGCGCATTTTCCTCCGAAGTCGAGGAAATCCTGATAGTCGGAAGGAGGCTCCTGGAGGGACCAGAGTTCAACAAGATTTTTCTGGGTTTTCGGGTCTAGGGCCTCAGAGCACAGGCTCATCAGGGTTGAGGGCTCCAGGCTGAATTATAGCCTTGGGCTCGGCTGTGTTCGTTGTGTCTTGCCATGAGCTGATGTGGTAGGATTTAAGCTTGATTGTGTAGGGCCTTGAGAGGGCACTAGTCACCAGGTTTATTCTGGGATTTGAGTGGGATCAGGGACGTTATTGCAGATGCTAGGTGGGAGGAGCTTCATAACAAGAAAGAGCAAAAACATCAGAGTGGCGTCCGTTGAAAAACACCCCCTGCACCTTGAGTCTTTAATCTGAATGCTAAACCTTGAATCCCTGAACCCTGAACCCTTGATCCTGAACCCTAAACCCTTAGCTACCTTAATCCTGAACCATATTGATTTTCAGCAACCGTCCAGGAGCCTCAGTCATAATCTTTACAGCACGATCCGCTGTCCAGCCCGAGCCTACGCCCCAAAGCCTGCAGAACCTCCCGAATTAGACTCTAGACACAGAAGATCCTTAAAGAAACCCCTTAACGCTAAACCCTAAGCCCCTGAAAGGCCCTTAACCCTCAAGCAAGAAGTCAAGAAGGTCATTATCAGCCCGAAGATGGTCAAAGACATGGCCGCACAGCTCGGAATACAGAAGAGCCCAGGGCACTACTGGTACTGCATCCTGGCCATGAACATATACGGGCATCGATAAGTTAGGGTTTAGGGCCTTGGGGTATATTGAAGATGTTTTGCTGTGGTAGCATGACTTCGTAGCGGTTCAAGACTCTGTTTTTTCAACGGAATAGGGCTTTGCTCTTCTCGACACTTGTCAGTCCCAGTGTTCTGGGAGTTGCTGACTTAGCGGCTCTAAAGTTCAGCATGTGTTTACGTCGTTTGCATTCAAGTTCGGCAGTCTTGGACCGGAAGAAGCTCAGAAACCCTGGCGGGTTTCAGTAGACCGACGGTTGGTGCCATGCTCTGTGATTATCGCTAAGTACACATGCTCAGTACTACCCACAGTACTGTAGCACCTGTGTCGCTTCATTGTTTACTGATCTGGCCATGTCTAGGGCAGGTCGGCCGCTGCGGTGGTCGATGTGGCACTTGGAGATTCATGGGTAGTTGTAAGTATAGGGTTATAAGTAGGGCAACTATAAGTATATCCCCATTAAGGGACTTATAACCCCACTTATAACTACCCATGAACCTCCAAGTATTTCATCCCCACAAAGCTTGTTCAACAGCTAGTACTTTGTGACAGAGTAAACCATGTAGGTGGATTCCTAAACTGAAGCACTGCATGACCTCCGACACTTGAACCGGCTTTGAGGCATGTTTGCCTTGCGGTATCCCCTGGCATCGGAGTGGGAAGCAGTGGTGCGAGAAGATACCCGCTGGTACCTGAATCTGCAGCACGACACGGCTCAGCCCATCCACCCCATGATCAAGAAGTGCCTGGGCAGCCAGAAGTAATTCTTATGACTCGTCGCAGATAACCGCATAGCCACGACCTTCAACATCGTGTGCTGTTCCGGTGCCCTGGCGAGTGGGTTCACTGATCACTATGGACCCACCCACCTAACAACAGCAGACCAAGAAGTCTCGCCTACAGACCTACAGACTATAAATCTGCTCCTTCGGCAGACAAGACAGTCCAACCCGGGTGTTTCAGCAATTCCATGCATACCTAGGCTGATGAAGGCCACCTCATCTTCGACTAAGTGCAATGAGCCCAAGTACCCATAGGCCCCATAGGAGTTCCTTTTTGGGAGTACCTCATAGGATTCTATATATGAGCCCCAAAAAGGAACTACTTCAGGGCCTATGGGTATCCACACTTCAGCACGGGCCATGTTTGGCAGATCTGGTGTTCCTTACGCTCGAAGCACAACATCCAAATCCACAGGTTTCGGGAACACCTGGGCGATGTCATCGCCAACGAGTTCCTGTGGGACTTCCGTGGATTTGTGAAGATGAAGTGCAGTGACTCCCTGGCACATATCTGTGCTTACCCCGAGGAATTCGCGCTGAGAAGTTCTGAGGAGGTGATAAGTTGTCGACCGGTTCTCCTCTTCGCCAGGGTTTCTGGTTTAGGGCCACAGCCCCCTGGCCAAGGTGAGTGCGGACTTCCAGACTCAGTGGTATGGTGCCAGCAGTGTACTGACTACTTTTGTGCTCCTTGCTTCCTTCAAAGTGCCTTGGCTGCTTGACCCCAAACATCAAAACCGTCATCAAAAGAGGGTGAAGCTGTGAGAGTTTTGGTCTGCACTCTCTAGTTATCAAGGAATGAAGGGTTGCACTGAGCATGGGTCCTTCGACTTCATTGTGCAGCCTTTTCGAAACAGTGTCTCATCATTATTTGTCGCATCGAGCACAGCTTCTCGAGTTGTTGCCTACAGGCTGCAACCACCCTGGGCTAGTGTTACCCTACAGGCGCCTCTGCTTGTCAGGTCACAAATCTCGGCGGGGTCGAAAGCACTGGCCACTTCCGGCTCCTCTTCTGGAATGATAACACAGGAGCTTGTATGGTCCCCAATACTATTTTGGGGGGTCCCTTACTACTATAAGTATAGCATGATTATAATCCAACACACAATTCTGAATGGGGCCCCTCTCTGAATTACTAATCCTTCGGCCGATGGCTGCACACTGCGCAGCTACGGATGCTTTCGCCTCTCACGTTTTCCGTGGAGCTTGAAAGGAAAGAAAAGTTTAGACTTTTGTTTACAAGGCTTTGGGGTAGTAGCATTATAGCCAAGGCGAGGGGCGTGTGCAGTAACAACAATATTCGTTACTACGACTAGCTTTTCCATGCACTATACTCCGGGTGGTTTGAAGGGAGAGCCTCAGATAATTACCCTAAACCTTACATCCTAAACCCGAATCACTGCACCGCAGTGGCAGGTGCCGGGCTGCAGATACCTCACCGTGCCAGAGACACGCCGTTTCGAAGAGCAGCTTCCGCTGTTGCGCCTTGGCCTTCTCCGTCACCGCCGTCTCTTAGAAGTCCTGTTGAGGGTTTAGGGTTTAGGGTGTAGGCTTGGGGGGTCATTAATTACCCATAGGCTCCATAGTAGTTCCTTTTTGTGGCTTATATGTAGGATCCTGTTAGGTAATCCCTAAAGACTATGGGCCTATGGGTACAGCAAGGAATCGCATATTTGGGGCTTATCGTTTCCGTCCATAATCGATTGGGGTTTGCAAAGGACCCTGGGTCATGTGCTGCGGGCTTTCGGTGCTGTGTTCGGGAAAGGCTGAAGTCTACGGCAGTGTTGCGCAATAGACTGCGGTTTGACAGGTAGGGCCGGGTAGCCAGGTAGGAGGTCTTCACAAGGGCTTTGAGGTATGTTTGTACAGCGTCTTCTGCTGGCTGGCGGGCCTAACCTGACGTTTGAAACTGTCGTTCTGCAGATGACACTTCATAACATGTACCAGGAATGCACGACAAAAGCTGCAGCGAGAATTTGCCGGATGAGTTGTCTTTTTTCCTTTTCCATTGGTTGATGGTCGAGGAATGTGGGCTTCTCCAACCGACGGCGATTCCTAGCGCGGGACAACCAGCACCTCAGCTGTAGCCGGGCGTTGGTGGAAACTTCCGGTGAAGACCTTCATCGCTCTGCACTGCGAGACCTATTTTACTTTCTTGGGGTTGTCAATTGTCGTTCGACAGAGTCAATTGTCGTTCGGCAGAGTTTAGGGACGCATGCATCGCCGCGTGTTCACGCCATCTAGGAAGCCTCCATACAGCTATTGCGTGTTATTGCATTGTAAAGACGGGGAACATGAGGATATGCATGAAGAGCAGGACGATGATGCTATGGAAATGATCGTATCGGTGTATGTGTGAATGATAGAGGATGACCTCGGTGAGCATTCTGCTGATTCTGATGATGGTGCATCACCATGCATAATCACCACTACTCCTTCTGATACCATCCCCGAACTGGATGCACCTCTCATGGCGGCCGACCATTAAGATGGGATCATCCGCTTTCGTTCATCATCCAACCAAGCCTTCCCGATGTTGCTTCGCAGTAAACCAGTATTCCAAATCACTGTGGATTTTGCAAGTGCGCAAACGGCCCCAAGCTCCGTGCGCGACTCACCGTACTCTGTTGCACAACTATTTCGGCACAAGGTCCGACAAAAACGGCGACCGAAGCGGAGATACCTGGCTTTGGTTCCACACAGACACCTTCCAGGCCTTGATGTCTGGTTTAGGGCAGCTTAGTAGAGGGTTTAGGGTTTGTAGGTGTTAGGGTTTAGTTTGGGGATAGGAGCAGCTGTTAGCAATCTTTGGTTTAGGGTTACAAGGGCCTTCCGGTCCCTAAGCCCGCAGTAGCCCTGAGCCCGAAGTACCGAACCCTCGTATAGTAGCAGAACAGGAACGCTAGTACCCTTCACAGGACCCTTAAAAGTCTTACGCTTCCCTAAGTACCGAACCCTCTTACAGCAGCAGTGCAGCAACACTTGTAGTAGCCTTAACAGGACCCTTTCAAAATCTTACACTTATGACCTAAACCCTAAACCCGTTCTAAATCTCACACTTGTGACCTAAACCCTAAACCCTAAACCTTTAAAATCTTACACTAATGACATGAACCATAAGCCAAGCCTTGTGCCACGGCGTCTCAAGACTGCAGAGTAGTACCAGGATAGCTTCTGTAGAAGGCCCAAACCCATTGGCCTTGCCCGCGGAAAGCATAATCCGCGAGCCGAGCCCGATATCTCCCCCCTCCGGGATCCTCCTCACGGTTTAGGGTTTAGGGTTCAGGGTTGCTGACCAATGCCCGTAGATTCCAAGAGAGGCCGCCCTCATGCAGACCCCAGAGAACCACTGGTGTCTGAAGCGGCGGGAGCCGCCCCGGTTGCCTCCAGGCCCGCTCGTGAGCCTCAATGCTTGTAGCAAGACGGTTAACAAGTTGAGGTTTAGGGTTGTTGGCTCAGGCTTTAGGCTCAGGGGTCCATGTTCTTCCCGAAAGAAACGCAGTACGGAAGATGGTTTTCGGATGCTTTGATACGGCTGTGGCACGCACAAGCTACTTGGTCCGGCATGGAAGAGGGGGAGAGCATACTAACGGGCTCAGAGCTGGGTATCATCATTTCTGCACGCCGTAGGTGTGGTAGATCGAGGGGCTCCATTTTCGGCCCAGCAGGTGAACCTAAAAAAGAGGGCGATCTCCCTTGCGGAAGTTGCGCTTGCCAAGACTTCATGAAAAGATGCCCATCTTTTGCAGCATGTCGAATCCTTTGACACTCTAGGTGTCGATGGCTACTTCTACAACTTCGCTACAGACACTGTGGCGGATGATGTGTCTTACATCCTCACGTCGCAACAAGTACCTCGCCTTAAGTCACGGTTGCGGGAGTTTCTGTGAGAGCTTTGTTTCAGAAGGACTGCCCAGACAGAACCGCTGTTCTACACCCGTACCGTCTGGTGCGTGGGCTTCGGGCGAGCAGGATGGACTCATGAAAAGCCTACAGAAATCCCGAAAGCGTCGCTCGTCTCCCAAGTCTTCGTGTAAGCCCCATGTCATTCTAAAGTAGTATAGCCCCCAACCCCATACTCTACAGACCCTACAAGCCTCGTACTCTCATTCCCTAGACCAATTTGGCCCCAAAGCCAACGCCGCCGAGGAAGCGCGTGCGGTGGCACTCATGCAGCGCCACATCCGCGGAGCCTTGACCCGTAGGCCGGTCTCTTTAGTATGATACATCATGTTATAGGACAATACTAGCTTATCATCAAAATCATACTGCTCGCTAGGGTTCTTGGATATAATGATGTAAGCATACTCGACGGTATACCCCACAACCCTATTCTGAAGTTAAGGCCCCTGTATCATGGTGTTGAATCAGTATGTTCGTTTCTTCCATGGTTGTTCCACTTGCGAAGTTCCTTTACTATAGGAGTCGCAGCTTGGCTTTCATCTTGGGGCAGATGGATTTTGAAATGGTGACCCGAACCCTAGACCTCAAGTGTCATGCCCCTGCCACTCGCAATGCAATGGTTTTGGTGGGGGAGCCAGACATGCCACCCCTACAAAAGCCCCAAACTCGGGGCGAAGACTTGAACCAGTATGCTCTTTGCTAGGGATGCAAACTTGTTCCTGCATTTGTATAGCACGGGTCCTCTTGCTGCTGCTGTTGCTGTTGCTGTTGCTGCTGCTGCTGGTGCTGCTGGTGCTGCTGTTGCTGTTGTTGCTGCTGTTGTTGTTGTTGTTGTTGCTGTTGTTGTTGATGATGTTGTTGTTGATGTTGATGTTGATGTTGATGTTGATGTTGATGTTGATGTTGATGTTGATGTTGATGTTGA